CAGGGAGGGATTATGGATGGAAAGGGATCCGCAGGGAAAGACTATGGAGGACCTCATGAGATGAGGAAGAACTCAAAAGAGAGTTGTATTATACTAAAACAAAGTTATATTTTCACACCTGATTTATAGGTTAAAATTCGTATCTACTTTAGAAGTAGGGATAAAGGCTTGTGAGTGCCCAGAGTAGAGAGCAATTAAAGAGTGAACTCATAAAGGATCATTTTGGATCGAATCTTAGAATGGTTTTCAAATACAAAGAGTTAGGAAATAATAGACATGTAATCCACCAGGATATTTTTAATCAGAGAAATAAATTTCTTCAGAGAAAATCTGAAATTTCAGGAGGCAGCATATGATCAGGAACTCGTAGTTTTGAAGGAAGGGTACAGGCTGAAATGAGGCCTCATTAAGAAAAACCAGGGTTCAGGAATTGAAGGAATATCAATGAAGTTGTTTCAACAAATGAAGGCGACACTAGAAAATGCTCATTTGTCTACGCCAAGACAATTAGAAGAAAACTACCTGGCCCACCTCCTGGATGAAGAGATAGTTATGTGTGCCCGTTCCAAGGAAGGGTGACACGGCAGAATGCAGAAAGTGTTGAATAATGCTAATACAACATAGAGGTAACATTTTGGGGAAGATAATTCAAAAACAGTTGCAGCAATACATATCGTGCGAGAAAACGGAAATTCAAGTCTGTCAGAAATTCAGAAAAGAGCATGGGATTTTGGATTGGTGATGTCAGATGAATTTTAACTGAAAGTAGAGCTTACCAGAAAGTGTGTGTTTTTGTTTCATTGACTATTCAAAAGTACTGAACTGAATGGATCAGTACTGGGATAACATTGCAAGTAATGGATAACAAAATTGCAAAGTAATGGATAACAAAATTGCAAAGTAATGGATAACATGGAAAGTAATGGATTTGCAAGTAAGGCAAATCATGGATAACATTGCAAGTAATGGGAAATCCAGAACACTTAATCATGCTCACGTGGAACCTGTACAGAGACCAAGAGGCAGCCGTTTGAACAGAACAATGGCATAGTGAGTCATTTACAACAGAAACGGTGAAGCTAGGCTTATAAACTTCACATACTTATTGAATATTCATGATGAGCAAATAACTTGAGAAGCTGGACTCTGAAGGAGACTGGAGCACCAGGTTAGAAGAAGGCTTATTAACAACCTGTGCTGTGCAGATGGCACAGTCTTGCTTGCTGAGTGTGAAGCACTTGCTGCCAAAGTCAAGGACTAGAGGCTTCAATATGGTTTACACTTCAACCATAAGAAAACAAGAAAATTCCCACAACTGGGCCAATAAGCAGCATCCTGATGAACAGAAAATATTGGAGTGTCAGGGATTTAATTTTATTTGGACTCATGAGCAATGCCCAATTGTGCATTAGTCAAAACCAAGTGGCATATTATACTGGGAAAATCTCTTGCAAAATACTTTAAAATAAAGATGTAAATTTGAGGATTCCACTATGTCTGATTCAAACTATGATATTTTCAATCACCTCGTGTGCATGTGAGAGCTGGACAATGAATAATGATGGTGGAATAATAATCTATTTATATGAGTCATGGCACTAGTAAAGAATATTAAATACACCACAGCGTGTCAGAAGAACAAATATGTCTCAGAAGAAGTACAGCTGAAATGTTTCTTCAAAGTGAGGGTAGCGAGATTTGATATCTTGATTGTGATGAGAAATCAAGCAGACAATAATAAAGCTACTATTGGTAGGTTGTGTGTGGTCTCTTCCGACTCATAGTGACCTGATGTCACAGATCTGGGTTTTCTAGGTTGTAATCGTTACATGAGCAGATCCCCAAGTGTGTCTCCTGGGTGGGGTTGAACCACCAACTTTTTGGCGATCAGCCAAGTGCTTAATTATTGTCTCACGAGGACTCTTCTAATAATAGGGGGAGTTCAGGAAACAGTCTCTGGTATAAATTAAAGTCTCAATAACAATCCTCGCTGAAGACAGAATCTGTTTCCCCCACCCCCACGCCCACGCCCCCTCCCCTATGTCCTTCACTGTGTCTAATAGAGGACCTGGAACACAGGAGGGCCAAAGAAGAGTTTGTTGCTCCAATGTAGGACCATGTGTAAGAGAAGCACAAGCAGACAAAGTCAGCATTAGCTGTATCGCTGCTGTTACATGAACAGGTGAGAGAGTGTTCCATCGAGCCACAGGGATTTCCTTTTTTGGCTGTCAGTCAGCACAATGGTTGTCTCAGGAATCAAAGCACTGAAGAGTGCATGTCTGGCTGAACTGATCACAGCAGCCCTGACATCATACGGCCACTGCTTTCCATAATCAATGTCTGAGCCTGGTTTACTCAGCGTCTGGTCCCTCATGCAATTCCAAACCCCGTGCCTGGATGGTAACATTTCCTCTAATTGCTGCCTGTTTGTAGTGGGAATTACATCCTGTTTGATTAATTTTGGGTTTGATTTCCCTCCTCCTGGTGCTATGGTTTCCTTGGACAGAGATGTTCTTTTGATGCTTTGCATGTGATGTGCGGCGAGGTGAATTCATGGACTTTGTGCTGGGTCCTAACACCAGTCTGCCGACGGGGGCCAGCTTTTCTGTAGGAAAGGGCAGGGGAATGATTGAACTGAGAAATCTTGATGGAGCTTTTCCACTTGATGTAAGGAAATGAAGGGTAGTGGTATTAAATGGCAGACAGTGGCTTAGAGATATATGCACAGAATTACCTACTACTTACGTGTTCCTTTGTAAACTGGAGAAACTGAGGCCTAGGGAAATAGACATCACAAACCCAGTGAAGAGTGGCACTGTGGATCAAATCCCAGGCTCTTTGTTCCCCACCATCCTTTTAAAGAGAACTCAGGGTAGCTGCGTCCAAATAGACTCTTTTTTTTTCCCCATGGCCCCTCAGACCCCTAGGTGTCAAAGGTCCTGGGGGGTACAGTGTCCTCAGGGGCAGTTGGAGCCCAGTGCATCATGGGGGTCTTCTTTTCAAAACCAATGTCTGCAGTTCTGCCATTATCATGCTTAGTTCTCTAATGCCTATTTTTAATGTCTTTTCCTCTGCATGTTTATTTTTTACAGTTGCAATCTTGCAGTTCAAAATATATTACAAGTCCTTAAAGACATTTTTTCTTAGAAATAGGTAGCTGTGCCAGAGTTCTTAGAAATAAGTTTAACTCCCATCTAGTGAACCTGAGACGAGACTTAGGAAACGCTGTCGGGATCTAAACGGAGGCTTTCGGATTCCCAGGTTTAGAAGACACTGGAGGGTGATTTGGGTAATCATGGCCATAGGCTAGGCTATCCTTCCCAGCAGGGAAATAAACTTGCCTTATGTCTTTGTGTCAAAGATTCCCAATCTGTACCTCCTTCTCAGCCCGCTTCCCTGGAGTTCTTGCCTAACCTATGGCGTGCTGTTTTCCTTCTTGTGTTTGTGTAACTTTAAGGAGCTCTGATGGTGCTGATAGCTAAGCACTGAACTTGCTAACTGCAAGGTCTGCAGTTTGAATCCTTCCGCCACTGTGAGGCAGAAAGATGAGACTATCAGCTCCCGAAATGATGTGCAGCCTGGGAGCCTCCGTGCTGAGTGGTTTTGAGTTGGCATCACTAGCAGGGGGTTGGTTCGGTAGTTTGGGCTGTGTTTTTGCAAGACAGTTCGTTCAACAGGGACTCACTCTTGTCTACTGTACGGGTAGTCCTTTGACGCAGAAAGCCTCATGACTCTGACCAAAGTGCTGAAACTCACTGAGTTACTTAATTGTGCCAACCTGGCTGATAATCACATGTGGGGCTAATTGAAAGGCGGAGGGATAAATGGGTGGTGAGTCTCGCCTTTCTAGTTCTCGGGTCTCTTACTTTGTGATGGTCGCACCAGGGTGCAGCTGCCTTAGCAGTTCCCTGCTTCAGCTTGCAAGATTGACTTCCTACAAGACATCCCCAAGAAGAAGCTGCATGGACCTAACCCGATGCAGCCCTGGGAGCTGGAGCAGCCGTGTGGAGACCCCTGCTAGTGCTGAGATGCTTGTTCGTTCACTGACTCAGCTTTCCTCCTGCAGTCGGCATCATTGCCTCTGTTTTGTGAGGTGAAGGACTTTGTGGACTGGTGTTGGGTATGGGTTAATGTTGGACTTGTGGGCTTGGGCAGCATTGGGTTGGGATGTTTTTGTGATGCACATTTTCTTTACATAAAACTCTCTCTTATACATGAGTTGCTGTGGATTTGTTTTTCTAAAGTACCTAGACTAATACACTCACTTAGCATTTTTCCCCAAACAAAGAGGAAAATAAAACATGTCTTACAGGACTGGCCAGAGGATTCAATAAGACAATGCAGGTTTCAGGCCTAGCATGTGTTCCTTTGAGAAAACAAAATCTTTCTTTCTGGTTCTGGGAACCCCAGAGGTTAGAGATCCCCATATAACTAAGGGAGTTGAGATATAATGGGGATCTCTGCCATCAAACACCTGTTTTCATATTGAGTATGGAAGAGAAAAGGGATATAGTGGTGCCCCAGTGGACAGGGTGGACCACCCTTTCTAGAACAAGCTCAAAGGGCCCCCAGGGTGGGCTCAGAGCTAAGTAATGAGAATTGATGCAGCTATTGAAATCATGAGATCAGAATGAATCCAAAGATGATATCTTAGCTTCCAATTGCTTTGAAAGGGCCCCCAAAAGTGCAGTGGATCTGCCTGTGTGTCTGATGTAGCAGAGGGGTATGGTATGAGAACAAAGGGATAAAGCAACCGATCTTCAGAAGTTGCGTGAGGAGGGTCAAAGAGTCTTAGGCATTTATTCAGCAGAACCTTTGGCATTTGTTGGTCAAAGTCAATGCTTCAGAGAGATCCAGATTGGAGTTTTAGGATGCCAGTGGTCTGTCCACTGCCTCATGGGGTGTCAGACTTCTCTTAAAGGTTAAGAAAAATAAATTCATCTGAAACTCGTCCAAATTGATCGAGAGTTACTAAAAAGGAGAACTAACTCTGTTTTAGATGCTTTAGAACATTTTGTTATGTTTGGGTCAGGAATAAAATGGCCCTGAAATTGAAGACAATCCTCCTGTACCTGAACATGCTGTTTAGTGGTCCTACTTTAAGTGGTGTCTGGAGAGATCTCTAATGTTGCCCTCAGTCAGGACTGGGGACTCAGGGTAGAACACTGTGGAGGAGAAGGAGTCACTAACCCGGCCCACATGGAGCTCGCACTCTCATTTGAGAAGCCAATTTTCAGGTTACCCAAGAGAAACCCAAGGAGCCCTGGTAGTGGAGTGGTAGTATACACATGGGGTTGTTAACCTGAAGGGCAGCAGTTCAAAACAACGTGGAGGAAATGAGGCTTTTTACTTCCTTAAAGAGTAGAACTATAGGGGCAGTTCTACTCTGTCTTATAGGATGGCTAGGCGTCAGAATTGACTCGATGGCAGTGTTTTGTTTTTTTAATAGCAAACCCTAAGACAGTCCCAAGGTATGCCTTTCATCCAAGTATATGTTTATTGAAAGTGCTCACTTTCACTCTAAATATTTCTCATACATAATCACTCTGACGGTATTAATAAGAATAGTGATAAATTAATATTCTGAAGGAATATTAAAATGCAAAATGCTTAGAGAATTGGGGGCAAAGGAGCATTTTTCCTCTTCTCAGGGAGCCCAGGACGCCTGGGGAAGGACTTGCAGCCATCCACTGAGTGAGAAAGCCTGTGGTCAGGGCTCATGTAAACGTTAACCAACAAGGACTTCGACTGGGTCTGAAACCAGGTCATAACGTGGGTGCCCGGTACTATTTGTGACAGCATCTTGTGATACAGGCTCTGAGATGTTAGACTTACAGCATCCTATCATTGCTTTTTGAGCACGTACACTGGCTTGTATAGGACAATGGTATATGTAGTCCCAAAGCATTTGGCTTAATGCCCCATCCTTTCTGTCTTAAACAACATACTCAGAGTACGATAGTATAGGAATGGGGGGTTGTGATGAGCGATGGGGGTTGGGATATGTATTCAGCTGTTGCCCCTGCTGGGATGAGCTGGGCCAGCAGATCTGCTCAGAGCTCATGTGATTTGGACCATTTATTTGTCTGGGACATTGAGGACATTTAGGGCTCCCATTTGTTAGAGACATAGGAGAAAGCAAAGTAAGCATTGTTTCACTTAATGCAAATCGAAAGTACCCAGGGGGGAAGTAAATATAGTCTATGGAACGAGAAATGCCATGTCCTGTTTTCTGAGAAAGAGAGGAGAGAAGGGAAGCAATAAGTCACATCCCTGCAAGGCAAGTCTGAGGAAGGATAGTGGAACAATGGATAATGGAAGAATTAAGCCCACTGTTGCTTTCTCTAATGCCCTCTTAGTCAGTCAATGGGTCTACCAATCAATCAAGCAGCAATTAATACATCAACAAGCATATACTGAGGACCTACTGTGACACAGTCACAGAATAGAAGCAAAACACCCCAGCCTCAGTCCCTCTCATCAACGAGCTCATTCTCCAGCTGGGAGGATGAGTAGATTGGACCGGCCCTTCTCCTCTCAGCTCCTCTTAACTAGGGGCTCAGCCAAGCTCATTCCCTAACCCGTCTCTACTGGGCAGACAAAAAAGACTCCATCCCTCCAACAGTCAGAGAAAAGAATTACAGTAGTTGTGCTGCCAGCCACCCAAGATCCGGTGTGCTTTGGGCTTACCTTAGATATCCTTTGCTCTCACATTAGAGAATAGTCCCAACTCCTACTTAGGTCCTCGTTTACCTTCAGTTTCCATTTCAGCTTAATAGCTTTTGCTGAGGCCGTGTGGAAGGGAGGCTCAGGCCGAGTGCTTTGGGGCCGAGTAGGCCTAGTTTCTCTATTGACTCAGCCTCTTTCTAGCTACATTTAGCGAATCGCATAGCTTTGTCTTCACCAGGGAGATACTAGACATCTTGAAGGATGTTGTGAGAAATGAATGAAACAATTAACTACCGTGCCTAATACCCAGATGAGATTCAAATGATGGTAGCTTATGGATGCAGTATCACCATTATTATCATTGGTGTTAGTTGTAGTAGTAATAGTAGGAGATGCCAAAATAGAGTGGATGCCTGCTCTAGTGAGTGAGTCCTCTAATGAGCTCCCAGCCTTCCCTGCTTCTTTCCATTGTGGCCAGATAGGGGTTATTTCAGGCACAACATAACCTTTTCTTTTAAAAGGACCAAAAAAAAGACTATCAACACTGCTCCTAACTTGGACAAAGCCAGTTTTAATCGATCTTAAATTGCTTGTTCTTCCTTAGAAATCTTGTACAATTCTGGCGAACCCAAAAGAGGGCCAGCTTACTGTTGACATAGTTACTCTGAAATTGTTCCATCTGGTTCTGGGTTCTGCCATCACCAGTTTGTAAGACCCTTATTTGGGGTTTCAGACAAAGAATGCAGGACCGTTTGTGCCGATTGCCAGCGGTAGGTCACCCAAGGACAGAAAGTGGCAGCTTTTGGAAGGAGGCTGAAGAGAAGCAGTTTCCAACAGCAAGATGTTTAAATTTGACAGAAATATAATAAGAATTCTAAGGAGGGGTTCCTGATGTGAGCGCTGGGCAAGGGATATCATTGCTGATGTCAGATGAATCTGGGCACAAAGCAGAGACCATCAGAAAGATGTTGATTTGTATTTTATTGACTATGAAAAGGCTTTAGACTGTGTAGATAACAATAAGCTATGGATAAAATTGAGAAGAATGGGGATTCCAGAACACTTAATTGTGTTCATGCAGAACTTGTACACTGATTAAGAGGACAGGATTCAAACATATATAGGAATATTCCATTGTTTAAAATCAGGAAAAGTGTGTGTCAGGGTTGTATCCTTTCATCATATTTATTCAGTCTGCATGTTAAGCAAGTAATCCAGGAAGCTGGACTGGATGAAGAAGAATAGAGCATTAGGATTGGAGGAAGGCTTGTCAGCAACCGGCAATACCCAGTTGAAACAACTTTGCTGAAAGTGAGGAGGACTTG